TCTAGGGAATATATCTTTAAATTCAAGTGGTTGTTGAGTGGCCGTGCGTGTTGGATCATAAGGTTGGTCATTTAGTCAAGTGGCGTGGTTTAGATTCTCGGCTTATACGTGACAAGTAGTAGGGTTGCCTGTCCAACCTCGTGGGTTTTCTCTAGGTCCTCCGGCTCCCACTGCTAAAGACCTCTACGCACAAGCGAATTAATTAAATAAAATTGAACTAGGTCATTTCGGGGCTAACATATGGTTCAATTTTATTTAATTAATTTGCTTTGGGGCTAGGTCCAGGTTTAGGCATATTGTTGGGGTTGGGATTAGCACTAGCCCTGTTTACATCTTGTGACCTATGACAAAAAATTGAGCTGGCCTTACCATTTAGCACTAACCATGTGTGTATATACATTTGTAGATTCTCATGTCTAGAGACGACCTGTAATCTATGGTATTTATGTAGTCAAGATTATAAATGATCTTTTATCAAATGTTAGAGTAATTGTTGGCTTTATATTTGTTTATTTATATAATAGTCTACAAATACAAGTTATCTGATAAAACATTTAACATTGTATAAAAATCTATTAACAGAAATTGTCTGATAACGATAATATTGGTTTATCTATCAATTGTTATGTTGAAATTAGTTGTATACCCAAACTAAAAATCTTTAAGATCGAAAATGTTCTTCGGGCTGCTATGGATAAGCTAGTTTAAAAACGGCAGTGATTTTAAGCCAATAAGTGTCAGATTTTAAGTGAAACTACTACAGTTGTGACAGCCACAGTCGAAGGTTAGTTACTCATCTTGAAAGACGCTCTCGGGGCAAAAATTTCCTTAATAGCTCATACTGCATGGCATATGTCCATCGTTATCATCCTCGGTGAATGGTGGAAAAATTTTTAACCCTGTTTCATTTAGATAATGACTGTGCTTGGAGTCTAAATGTGGTTATATTTGGTAAATAGTTTATAAATGGTTTATGATTCTACCATTGGTTTCGATTCCCTGGTTGTACGTGGCAAGGAGTAGGGTCGCCTGTCCAACCTCGTGGGTTTTCTCTGGTTTCCTCCCACTGCTAAAGACCCCTACGCGCCAGCGAATTATTGAAATAAAATTGAACCATATGGTAGTCCCGAAATGAACTAGTTTTTGTTGAGTGGAGTTAAACCCCATCTCTCTCTCTCTCTCTCTCTCTCTCTCTCTCTCTGAGATTCTACTTGAATGTATGATTTTATTAGTGGGGCATGCTAAGCATAAAAATCTTTCAAATCTAAATATAAACACTGAAATTTTTGTTGTTAAATTGTTTATAATTCTAACATGAAAGTATAATTCTATGGGTGGACTATGTATATATCTAGCCTGTAAACAAACAGTTTATTGTGTTGTAGTTTAATTAGGCTGGTCTCCACTGATCTACAGTCTATAGGGAAGAATGTCAAGTCTGGTCTGTTTGTTGATACAAGAGAGGCGTGTGCACTAATCAAAATATCTCCCTGAAAGGATAAAAATATCTCACATGTAAATTATACAACTTTCTACAACTCTATCAACAGATTACGTTTCTAACTTTACTTTTGAAACTATTTTAAACCAACTGTATAAATGTGTTTTAAACAACCTTCTGAACTTTACTTTAAACAACCTTGTGAGCTGTATTTTAACATGGACCTTATATATGTATTATAAGGTCCATGATTTTACCAAACTTGTGCACTTTATTAAAATATTTTAATCAACCTTAGGCACCGTACAAAAGTGTTTTGAACAGCCTTGTGAACTATATTTTAAACAATTTTGTCAACTGTATTTTAAGCAACCTTGTGAATTGCATTTTAACAAACTTGTGCACTATATTAAATTATTCTAAACAACCTTATGAAATGTATAAAAGTGTTTTAAACAACCTTGTGAACTGTGATTTAAACAACCTTGTCAACTGTATTAAAATGACCTTGTGTACTGTATAAATTGTGAATATACATGTACTAGGACTTTTACTTCATCATTTGCCCAGTTGGTCAAGATTCAAAGTATTTTATTACCACAGATTAGCAAGATATTTTTCCCAAGAATATAACAGTTTTCTAGAATTATACAAATTTTTATGAATATTTTGAAGGGTTTTTTTTGCACAAAATCTATATATGTAACTGTATTTTTTGTAATCCTTTAGAGGCATTTAGTAACTGGACAGAGCAATAAACTTTTTTTAGATTCTGAAAAAATAGCTATTAAATAATAAGGGTGAAGTTTGATTCCTCGGTTGTACATGACAAGGAGTAGGGTCGCGTGTCCAGCCTCGTGGGTTTTCTCTGGGTCCTCTGGTTTCCTCCCACTGCTAAAGACCACTAAGTGCAAGCGATTTATTGAAATAAAATTGAAACACATGTTAGTCTCAAAATGACCTAGTTTGTGTGGGTCTCTCTCTCTCTCTCTCTCTCTCTCTCTCTCTCTCTCTCAAAAAGTTCAGAAACCATAGATAAAAAAATATGTTAGATTTGAACAAATTAAGCTGTTGTATTCATGTCATTCATTATACTAATATTTGAATTATTTATTGGAAAATGAAACTGTCAAGGTAACAATTAATTAAAATATGATAGGCAGGTGCAATTGACCAATGAGATGTTATTAATAGTTTGATTGACAGTTGGTGCGTGTGGTGATGTTTTATGAGACGGACGTTATTACTCTATCTTGTATGGTGATCCCTAGGGTTCTTTATAGGGATCTTACTAGATCCATAGGGTTCTTTATAAGGGGTTTTATCCCCAGCAGGCTGCTGAATCCCTGGGATTAGTTAATGGCAATTTATGACCATCTTTGTCCATTGAACTTGTTGACCTCTCGGTCTTGTTGTTCAACAGATGTGTATAGCGCAATCTGTTGATATTCACACTATCAAAATACGTATTTAAAACATGAAAACTTATTAGTTTACGTTTTTTGCTTATTTCATCAACTGATTTTATTGTTATATTAAAACCGTAACATGCCATAATAAAACGCTGAATATAGAGTTTGAGACCATGCACAATCATTTTTATTGAAAAATATTTCGGTTCAAAGATGATACAAATCAATTAATTTTGATTGAGGTTATTTCCATTTGAAGTTTACATTGATTTCTATTTACAGTTTTTCCGGCCTACATAAGAATATTACAAAAGCACTTCCAACAATAGTTCACAATATTTGTCGAGAGTATAGGGGTCAATTAAAAACAAATTTATCAAAGACGAAAAAAAATAAGGAGTTATTTAGGGGCCAAGGGGCTTGTCATATACACAATAGATATGCGATCAGAAGAGATCGAGTATTGGCGCATATCATTCCTTTCAGAGGGGTAAAAAAAGTGAAACTAAATAGCGAGATTTGTCCGTCACAATACCTTATTTACAGGCAAAATATTTGACATACAAAATGAAGGTTATGGTTGAGTAGATTTTGACAAATAATTTGGTCAAAGTGTTGACTGTCATGAATGATAAATTCACAGTAGTTATCATAGATAATAGGAGAAAAAAATCTTATATTAACCACAGGAATTCAGCTCGTTTTTCCTTTTCAAGTCTGGATATTTTATTTAAAGAGATTTTGGACTGCATATTATTTTTATTAATGTTTAAAGATGTATTCCTTCTTGTTTATTTTGGTCATCTGTTTGATCTTTTTTTGGGATGGAATCTGGGCAATGACTGAGAACAATTTATAAAATGGGACTTGGTATGTTTTATATTTCAACCAACAAATTAATGAAGCTCAAATTTGCAAACAAAATATGTTCTCATAATGTGAAAACTTTCTGTGAATTATTGTGCAAAGTTTTATGTTTTGGATGTGTTTTCCTACCCACTCATTAGCATGGCTAAATCTATTTGTTAAGGCCATCTCAATTTCCCTCAAGGTCGCTAAAATGTAAATAAGGTTAGGGTATGTGATTGTTGGCAGGATTGTAGGTTAGGGTTAGGGTAAGCATTAGGGCTAGGTCCATGGGTAGAGTTAGGGTTGGTATTTGTGCTAGCCCTATTTCCATCTCGTGACCTTTGACCAAACTTGAATTCGGCCTTAACACTTAACAAATAGATCTAACCCATTATTTCCACCCAAAATATTAATTTTTACATACATAGAATATAATATATTTATTTAAAGAGAAATTTCATTCCTTTACTATTAAAATGGGAAACTCAACATGGTGTAAACTCGGGTATTGAGAGTGACCTTCTCTTTAACTTTAACCCAAGGTATTGGGAGTGACCTTCCCTTTTCTTTACACATATATTTATTTAAAGGCCTACGGCTGCTGTGGTTATGTTTTTATAGCATATGAGATATACAGGTGTATCGTTCTACCTACACAGGTAAATAATGGGTAAAATGTCTAGGTCTATTATTTATATTTACAGAAGAAAATAACACACCTTAAATTTTTAAATTGTTTTATGGAAAGTTGTGGGAAAATAGTTTTAATGTAAATTTAGGACCATGGCAAATGAACTACTTTTAAAATTGTATTTTGTTAAATTTATCGAGTTCAAAAACTGGATTTAAAAGAAATGTCTTCCAGATATCTTGTTACCTGAATCCACAGATTTGCTGCCTAAATGTGAACTAAGAACTTGCACACACAACAACCATAACAGGACCAAAGGGAAGTTGGGAGACCCAGACAGATACTGACTTGCTCATACATTGCTAACTCCACCAGACCAACCTAATATTTTTGTGGTACATTGAATAATATTAAATATTATTAAAATTGGATCATAGCTGTGATGTTGACAGTTTGTCTATCACCAACTTTAATTGTGGTAAAAGACCTAGACACATCAACTCAGAATGTCTAAATTATTTGTATCATATGATATAATATTTCATTTTATTTTCAGTGGCTCGACCCTATCTTCCCCCCCCCCCCATTTATTTGTGTGTGTCAATTGTAAATACTAAATACTTTATTAATGGTTGTATTAAAGAATTATCTTTCTTATCTATTTCAGATCTGGAGAATAGCCCAGATTATATGAAGATGATTTCGGACGCCGACACAAAAAGATCAAAGAGAGGCTCCGGGGATTCAACGTCCTCAAAGAAAGATCAGCGTGACAGCCTTGAAAGTTCGGACTTTGTCAATAAAGTTTGTAAATTTGAAATGTTTTCGCGTGGAAAGACTTCACCAACTGCCAAAAGCCCAACGGAGAAACAAAATACAGTTTCGGGGTCCGGCAAACACGCGAACGTCACACCCTTTCAAGGATTTGTCGGAGAAAAAGTGTTTTCTCGGGATACAGCAACTACAAGAATATCGGCTGCTAGTTTACTGCAAGGAGGAAACGATCGTACTTCCAGTACGTGCAGCACCAAAAGTTCAAGTTCGTTAACCAGCGTCAGTACATTGAGCTGGAGTTCAGATTCTTCAGGTTCTCAACGTTCATCAAACACACCAAGTCTTCCAAACGGTGGGCATGCCCATTCTACCTCTACGTCTCATTCAAATACTAATGGACAGATAAAATCACCTAATGGTTTCCCCATCTCCCCACGAACCTCGGTCACCTCCCCAGGTCCCTTCAGTCCATCTCGTCTCGATCCATCTCGACCAAAATCAGGGGAACAGATAGTCGCTTATGGACCTATAAGGCCAAAATCGGGAGGCAGAAATGAACCTCCAGTGACCTACCCGAAACCGGTTGAAGTGAAAAGTGTTTTAACAAACGGAGATACTCATAATGTGAATCTTCGAAATAAAGAAAATCAGACCGTGTCGAGTGAACGAAACACATTTGAAGGAATAGAATTTGATTTTAATGAGCTCACATCGAGTCAACAGGACCTGTCTATCAAACATCGCGAAATCGTTGAAAAACGAAAAGAAGAACAGGAACTTCAGAAGTTAGAAAGGCAGCGATTGGAGGATATTTTATTGATGTGTTCAGAATATGAGGAACAGTTAGAAAGTGAGAAATTCGGAAGACCCGTCGCGAAATTTGAAAAAGATTTAAAGTCTCCTCCTGCTAAGAAAACTCTTCCCCCAGGATTCCTCAATTTAACGGCCGTCAATGATTCCAATTCGTTGGAACGTAAGAATCATCTGGATAATAAATCTTCCATGTCTAAAATTAAAACCAATGGTTCGTTAGGTCGTGTCACCTCCCCGAGTCAACCTTCACCAAAAGAATCCCCATTTAATGTGCCTCATTGTTCAAACTCATCGAACTCTAACTCGGAGGAGGAACTAAGCGGCAGCTCCGAAGATACGGGTACCATAAAACGTCGACCAACTCCAAGTGATTCTTCTAGTGAGGCCAAAACTCCGACATCTGCTCTGTCTCCGGGAGTTTTGTCTCCGCGAAGCTTAAATTCCATGTTCGAACGTGGACCAACTAGTCCTCCTTTGTCTGTGCAGAATTCAATCGAGCAAATTTTAAACACATCCTTTGAATCCCAGCAAGAATTAGCGCGTAATGATTATGGAATATTCAGTGCTCAGTTTAACGCTCAAATATCGGACTACAATCTGGACGAGGATGAAGAGGATTTATTGAGAAGAAATAGTGCCACGTATTCATCCACGCATTCATCAACATCGTCAAGTTCGCGAACAATTAAAGAAACGTCGCCCGATATATCGAGTTTAAGTGCTAAAGAGGATACTCCTACGCCCGTTAATAGTGATGCGGAGAGTAGTAGTCCTGTGTTGAAGGTCAGGGAGCAGACGGCCAATAAGTTGTCCAATAAATACGAGGCACAGTTAACGGAGAATAATAATAAACCAATGATATCCTCACCCAACAGAATCAAGGTAAGATATTCTCTGAATATCATTGTTTTCAAAATAACATATGGTTGTTTGTAGATCACATGATTTTTATTATGATATCTGATGGTGCTGGCATGATATATTGTTGAATCGATGTATCACTATTAACCTTCTCATGATTTTTTGCCATTCTCTTTTTTTGGGTATTTTTGTCGCTTCACTGTTAATTATCGATGTCACGCATTATCCATAGGTACTCAAACACTCTTATTTTGTTTTGGTCCTTATTTTGATCCACATTAGTTTTATTTTTTCGACATCGGCAGGATTAAAAATATCAATTATTCATTTAACCTGTTGGTAAATATTAACCTGGTGATGAATCATGATACAAATAGTATTGTAGCACCAGAATCGCAATCCATATCATGTCATGACTGCAGTAGCAATATCCAGTGATAATGTGTGAGCATCAGCCTCTTGACTACAACAAGCCAGTGCCACCTATCAAATATTGAATAATCTATTTGCATGATTAATTTTTGAAAAATTAGGTACTGGATGGTCCAAAAAATGTAAATGACAATGTGTGACCTTAAAGTTTGACTCTATTATTTTTTATTAAGACTATCGTGTACTATTATTTTTATATGCCTAGCTACACTGAAATGTGGTTGTATATCGTTGGTGTCCCTGTCCGGCTGTTTGTCCGTGGATGCCTGTGATTGACTTTCACTTTATATCCAGATCATGCAACAAAGAAGCCAATTGATTTTCATCAATTTCCGATAACTACAGCCAGAGTTATTACCCTTGTTATTTTAAGCTGGACTGCCCAATACAACCTATGATAATATATATTTTATATTTATATTTGTAGTCTGATCCAGATATGGAGAGACAGTTAAATGAACTAAAGCAGCAGAAATATGATATATTACGAACAATCGCTGATCTAAAACATCAGATATCTGATATAGAGAACCAAGAAACAGAAGCCATTAGAGGAGTAAGTAGAAACTATCTGTCTTTTGCTAGTTGCTGTTTAAAGATCCCCTGACTGTTGCAAATCGAACCATATGTACAATTAAAGAAACGTCGCCCGATATATTGAGTTTAAGTGCTAAAGATGATACTCCTACGCCCGTTAATAGTGATGCGGAGAGTAGTAGTCCCGTGTTGAAGATCCCCTGACAGTTGCAAATCGAACCATATGTACATCTATGATCTAGGCCGTAGAACTTATACTGTTTGGGCAAAATTTCCCTCATAACACCCTGCATGTCGTATTGACGTCTTCATTATTATTAACGTCTTGCTGAAGAATAAGGTTTTAGACACCATTTGATTTCAATGGTATACACGTACAGTACCTCAGGTTTTTGACCCATCTGAACAACTAGACGTTTTTCCTTACCAGATCCTTCATATTGCACTACGAATGCCAAGTTCCCACTATCACGATTCGTGCTGCGATTGAAATTGTGGTTTTGTGGTTTGTGGAGTAAACGTGAGGATTCTATCAGGTCTTACCATATATTGGCGTCAGTCGTAGCAATCGTGTTGATTGTATCGAAACGTATCCGAATGTACCTGCATGTACCAGATCGTGGACTCAATAGGGCCAATCCTATCGTAACGCATGGCATGACGGTGGGAACCTAGCATAACAATGGAATACCTGGCTAGAAAACCTTGAGAAACTAGCTCAGCCAATACCAGAATTAAAACTGAAATACTTATTAATCTGAAAGTTTGTTTTGATTGTTTAAATATTTTAGAACCTTGACAACAATGTGACTATGCATCTTTCTCGAGCTACTTAGCGGGTTGGGTGGCTGAATGGTCAACACATACGCGTTGAATCAGGTCAAGGTCTGTCATTGAGTAGAGTGGCATGGTTTCGATTCCCCGCTTTACGCGACAAGGAGTAGGGTCGCCTGTGCAACCTCTTGGGTTTTCTCAAGGTCCTTTGGTTTCCTCCCACTGCTAAAGACCTCTACGCACAAGTGAATTATTGAAATGAATTTGAACCATATGTTAGTCCCGAAATGGCCTTGTTTGTGTTGAGTGGGCGTTAAACCCCATTTCCCTCTCTCCTTCTCCAGCTACTTGCATTTACGAGGGTTATGAAAACTCCCAGATTATGTAAAATTGCAATATTAACAGCAAATTCACATCTGTCTAAAATGTATAAAGAAAAGTTATATTTTGATTAGGAAACTTGAGCTTCAAAAATTACCAATTTTATGTATTAAATTTTTAGATTGTCGGAGAAAATCATACTGATTGAGGTTAAGGAATAGATTATTTGGAGTAAATTCTGACCATTTTAAATTATTCTATGTTTGTTGTGATTATTTCAGCTGGAAATGGAACGAGCGTTGTTGGAAGGTGAACATCAGACGGAGATGGAACAACTACAACACGATCAGGAGCAGATCAATCTGTTGAAACAACAACAAGCAGAACTGATGGAAAGAGCTTCACGCGAACGACAAAAGGTGAGAGATAGCGAGTACACACAAAATATAGCATGACATCAACAGTTGAATCTATACGTGGATTTCAAAATACACAAAATCTTTGGTTCGAAATGAAATGTTTTTTTGAAGATGTTTTAAAATTTTGTTGAGAAAGAAATGATTTTTCGACAGATCAACCAAATTCCATACCTTTTTTTACCTAAAATCAAAGCAGTCCTGGTCCTTTCTGGATAATTTCTATGTTATCGATATCAATGATTATGGGTGGATAAATGTACAGTAGGAATGCTAAGTATGTCAATATAGTAGCCGCCTTAGACATATGTCCTTGTCAATGCCCAGGAAGATGATAGAAACAGCTTTGTAGATTAAAAACAAACTTTTATTCCTGCATTTTGTATCTTTGTACATGTATGCTATCCCTTTCTATCTCAACATATAGTTTTATCCTTGTAGAAAGCAGCTAAAATCTGCATATTTCACAATCTATATCTTTGCCTTCTTATGACCTTAAAGTTCATCAGGTGTTTTCAGTGTGGTTTCTGCTTGTAAATGGTGCAGGATGCAGGGCCTGACAAGGAACAGCATATTGTTGTTCGAACCACGGTCCTCTGTACGCTTTGGTGTGCACCTAAAAGATCCCTTGGCAGCTGGAATTTAAAGAAGAGTAAGCGGAAACAGCGTTAGGTCAAAAATTCCCTCTTAACACACTGCCTGTTTTCATTAGCCCAGTTGGAGCAGAAAAATAAGACATTAAACCTCATTTCATTTTTTTTTACGTTTATACGTCTTTTACAAAATGAAATGGGGTTTAACATCCTAATGTTCTGCTTCAACTGGGCTGTGAGGGAAATTTTGCCCGGGCAGCGGTGCTAAGGCCTACTCTTATATTGAATTCCAACTACCAAGGGATCTTTTACATGCACGCCAATCTGTACACAGGACCTCAATTTTTCATCCCATCCAAACGACTAGACAGCTGTCCATGTCAGGCCCTCCATCCTTCACCACTGATAAGTGTAAACCACGGTGGAAACATGCACAATATAACAATGTGATATAATGAATTGGGTAACATGGTGTACGAAATAACTTGCATAGTTAACTCTGAGATTCTAGCGATATTTATGGTAATATGATTATATTTCAGATGAAGAGACGGGTAGGTTAATCAAATGTTGTGTAATTTTTATATCTCCTTGTTTTTATTTCATGTTTTTTTGTTGTTTTTTATTTTTTTTAGTGTAGTTTTATTGTTTCACGCTTTCTAGCTTTATTTGGTCTGATCGTTTTAGAGAAAGCATGATGGGACAGTGTGTTGCATGCTGGATTAGATAGACAAATCGGGGTGGGTGTAGATTTAGGCGCAGGGTGTCATAACATATTCAGGGGAGACGCCGTGTTTTTGGTTTAGTATCTTTGCAATATTTTACAATCTTGAATAAGTGGATGAACTTATATGGGGAATGGTTAAAGACTTTTTTTTTTGTTAAACTGATGCTTTGATAGATCTGTCAGTAAAATTGCTGCAACATTCAGCACATGTACAGCTAGATGTCATGAAATTTTCACAATCAGACCGCTGCTTTTGAAACTATGTTGTAAACAATTGTTATGTACGTATCCCATATATACGTGTATCCAAGTAATCGTTGTATTTATTGAGCTTTTGGTGTGCTTCCTCTGTTGAAATAAAATATGTTACGTCAATATGACTACATTCTATACGATTCATGTTCTGTGTATAATCAGCAAAAGTCTGTCAGCCATTTAAAGAGAATCGAATCTGGTTCAGGGAGAGAAAAAAAAAATGCATTACCTTTGTGGAACAAACTGGATCCTCTGTGGAACAAAGCTGAATCCTCTGTGGAACAAAGGCTGGTGCTCCGCGGAACAAAAGCTGGATCCTCCGATGGAACAAAGGCTTGTGCTTCGTGGAACAAAAGCTGGATTCTCCGTGGAACAAAGGCTGGTGCTTTGTGGAACAAAAGCTTGTCCTCTGTCAAACCATGGCTGATCCTCTGTTGAACAAAGGCTTTTCCTCTGTGGAACAAAGGTTGATCACCCTCTGTTGAACAAAAGTTGATCCTCTCCAGAACAAAGGCTGATGTGTGTCTTATAGAATGTAGTAATGTAAACTGTATGAATACATGTAGGCTTATATATAAGAAAAATATTAATTGAAATTTATATTTATCTAAAATTATTTGAAACTGAATTAGAACACAGGCGAAATAAAAAAACCAATTCATCTTTACTTTTAATTTAACATTTTATTTTATTTACTCAACTAATTAAGATGTTTTTTGGGAGGTTGTAGGTTAGATTTTGACTATGATTTGTGATTATACATTTGGACTATAATTCCCCTGTTCTTTACACAATTCAAGTTAAAATTGAACTAATTATCACCATTTTGAAGCATGATTTGTATATTAGTATAAATGTAGTTAAATCAGGGGCAGATCCAGCTACATAATTATTTTTTTTTAAAACTGCACTTTTATGAGAAAGGTGTCATGGTCGTGTGCTTTATCCTCTATCATCAGATGCTGGGATGGGATGAGCATTGAAAGCGCGATATAATGATATAGACATATGTGGTATCACAATTAATGCTTTGCATCAATGAAATTGAATCACAATGTGATCCTTTGAATTCATGATAAAAATTGACATCAAACGATGTGTTGGATTTCTCTTTTACAAAAGCTCAGTGTGTATGTATGCCTACGTAATTTGGAGACGATGTTGGCATTATGAAATGTCAACTGTCAAATTTTCTTAACAGGAACCTGGCAAACTCCCTCCAGCAAAAATTCCTGGATCGGCCCCTGTATATGGTAGAAGCTAGTTGTTTGTTTGTTTGAATCTTGTAGAGCCTGATTAGATTTGTTGATTATTTATTTACTGGGATGAGTGTATGATACCAAGAGTAATAGAATTCATTTTTCATTAACCAATTCAAGCAAGCCTGGAACTAAGGCACCTGTCACTGACCTTGTCAGACACAAATTCATGCCACTATCCCTCTGGTGGCGTGTCGTTTTATATCTGTCAGTTTTGTCTTTTCTCAGTGGGTTTTTTTTTATACCGTTAATACATGTCCAGCAAAAATTCAGTTTGTGATATTTCATCATATACAACTGAATTCATTATTTCTGGGCAATATATGTAAAAAATATTTTTTGGGAGAGCCACGGTAGTCGATTGTTAAAGGCACTGTGTCTGAATTTCAGCGTTTGTCGAGAACCTTGAGATTTTTCTAGCCCTCTTTCCACTTGTCAGTGGGTAACGCCAGTGGGGCTGATCAGGAAAGTGCTTTCTTGTTAAGTAGGGTCACCTGTCAAACCTTGTGGATGTTCTCTGGGTCCTCCGGTTTCCTTCCACAACTAAACACCCCTATGTGCAAGCAAATTATTTACATGAAAATTAACCATGTTAGTTCCAAAATCACCTAGTTTGTGTCTAGTGGACATTAAACCCAATAACTCTCTATCTTGCCAAGTCATTTGGTTGAGACATTAGGATACGTCAACACCTCCTTCAATCAACTTCTCCCGTCAACACCTCCTTCAATCAACTTCTCCCCTCAACACACCCCCTTCAATCAACTTCTCCCCTCAACACCCCCTTCTATCAACTTCTCCCCTCAACACCCCCTTCAATCAATTTCTCCCCTCAACACCTCCTTCAATCAACTTCTCCCCTCAACACCTCCTTCAATCTTGTTTTCTTTGGGGCCCGAAATAAGGAGACAAGACATTTTTAAGTTTATCCCTTATATCTAGAATTTTTTATTTCATTTTTAATTGTTTTATTTATTTATAACAAAGGTTATTTTTTATCTTCAGATCATATCCACCTGCTCTGACCGTTTTTCTAAATCACTTATCAATTACAATATATATTTTTTTTAAAAATCATGTCCATATCTTATCTGATAATTTGTTTTTGAATAATCTTATGTTAGACTATAACAAGGGTCAATTAAACATACATTATGCAAGAGCTTAATCTGCCTATTGCTGGTCTTTCTTTTGGCCTGAAATGTTATATAAAGTATTAATTAGACATTTATTACCAAAATGAGATCATAATCAACTCTAGATGGCATCAGATACTCAAGATTTTAACTAGAATCGAAGGGTTCGCCATTTAAAGATTTAATTTAAAAATGGGAAGGCAAGACTAACTCTCGAATATACCAGTGCCCTGGTTACCACAATGCACACATCTTGTCAAAACAGAAAACAGTGATAACTTGGCTCAGAATGAAATAATTTGAATGAAATTTTCAATATTTTCATTTTACATTATCTATTGTTGAGCTATTATAGCAAGAATGGTCAGCTCTTTATCTAAATCTTACATAATGTATCTTTAATGCAGTCTGTTTCCCTTTGATATCTCCATATTTTTTACTCATTAGAATATAATTTTTATTAGATTAAGATTAGAACAGATTTATTACATCGCTATTTCCTAAATTATTTCAAGATATGGGCAAATTTATTATATAATTAATTCAAATTGATATACGTTTATCCGTCACACATATAATATTAAAGAAGGATATGTTAATTGAGAACTCTTAAGAATTTTTTGGGTGTAGAATTTCTTGGTTTACGGTTTACTTAATTGTTTTCTTCTTTTTCATGTTGTAATCTTTTTTATATGCTTTGTGGTTGAAGTTCTTTGTTAATATAATTTAAAAAAAATTAAATTGGAAAAAATACTCAAGTGACATTTATGTGAATAAATTTCGTTTCTATTATTAAAAAAACTTATATTATTCCGTCCTCTATGGTGGGATGTCTCTTGTTCTATAAATCTCCTTTCTTGTTCAGATATATGTACTGGTTTTACAACCAATCTTTAATCCTCAGATGGAAATTTGCATGAATCTCTTATGCCTCAGTCTTTCAAATATATTTTTAATAAAATTTTAAATCAGTCCTTATTTCACCAAGCTTTCAAATTCGGAGAGATTATTATAAAAAAGATATTTATTGTTTCATTTTTTTAAAATTGATTTTTCCAGGAATTAGAGGAAATGGAACTTGAAAGAGAGAAGCTACGTAGTTTAGAATCTAGTACTTATGAGACAGAGCAGCTCCTTGAAGCCTGTTCAAAACCTGACGAAGAAGAAAAACTACTGGATAAATATCGACAAGAGCAGGACATATTGGAAACCCAACGCCATCTGTTGGAGGATCTAGAATTCCAAAATTTAGAGGTAAACACACAGTGTCTTAATTTCCTTAAAGATCATATTTTGGATTGGGAGGATGACAGAAAGGTTCTGCAATCCCACTTGATAAGCCATTTTATGTTTACAAATGCCACTGCTCAGGCAAAATTCTTTTAAATTTTAAGAATATTGGCTTACAGGGACAGAAAGTGTTGCTTAATCATTCGAAGAAGATGAAAAACCTAGAACCAAATTGATTCTAAACATAAACAAACTCTTGACAGTTGGAAATGGATAAAGAGTTGGCACAGATACACTTCCCGGGCAAAATTCTTTGCTCTAGCATTTAAATTAAAGTAACAGGGTGTTATTTCAATAATGCACATACATGTAGGATGTTTTAGCCATGGGAGGAAACTGGAGGACTCAGAGAAAACCCAAAGGTTGGAATACAGACGAAACTACTCCTTGTCACGTACAGACAGGGAATCGAAACCATGTAACATGACACCTTTTGATCTAACACTCACACATTAAACCATTCAGCCACCCAACCCCTCCCCCCCCCCCCCTTAAACAGGAAAGCAACAGGAAAGCAACAGGAAAGCAACAGGAAATATCTGTTGTTAAAATCACTGCTGTTGTGTTGCTCTGCAGTACAAGAGTATAATTTGTACTTTCAACCCTGTTGGTGAATTATTGAAATAAATGTACCGGTATACCATATGTTGGCCCTGAAATGATCCAATTAGTGTCGACCGGACAATAAATTCTTTCTACAGTTAGGGGTGTTTATGGAGACTTGACTGGTAAATGATGAAAACTGAGAGAATTCCAGTTATTTGCATGATAATATGAGAGATTAATTTACAACAAATCTTGTTTAATTTTGTATTATTAGATGGATTGTGTAATTGTATATTATAGAATAATTGTGTAATTGTATTTTATAGGAAGAAGCCAAGTTTGATGAAGATAAAGACCATCTAGAAACACAGCTAATTAAAGGACAGTCCGTTATATTAGATAAATATAAAGCTAGAGAGGTAAGGACTGTGATATAACCCTCGTTAACGTTAATTCCCAGTAACATCCTGTTTATACCTGTAAAGTCTTTCACTCTGGCATCTGTCACAAGGCCTGTGTGATCCTGTTGCTAGGAAACTCTATGTGATCCTGTAAAGTCTGGCTCTCTGGTGTCTGTCGGAATACCTATGTAATCATGTTGCTAGGTAACTCTGTCTATTCGATCCTGTAAAGTCTCTCACTCTGGCATCTGTCGCAATACCTCTGTGATCCTGTTGCTAGAAAACTCAGTCTTTATGATCCTCTATAGTCTGGCTCTCTGACATCTGTCAGAATACCCTTGAATCCTGTTGCTAGGGAAATAAGTCTATACAATCCAGTAAAGTCTTGCTCTCTGGTGTCTGTAAAGTCTGGTTGTCATCAAATCACAACTGCAAGGGGATCTGTTTCATGTGCCTCAACCCAAGAATAAACTAAAACATCTTGACATGGTGTAAAATATGGTTTATTAATAATAAAACAAAATAAATTACAATAAAAGCATTAATCAAGATGAGCATTATAAATCAGCAATAATTATAATACATCCCCACCTCACCTATTAAAAGAGAGAGAGAGAAATGGGGTTTAACTTCCACTCGATACAAACTAGGTCATTTCGGGACTAACACATGGTTCAATTTTTATTTCAATAATTCGCTTGCGCGTAGGGATCTTTAGCAGTTGGAGGAAACCGGAGGACCCAGAGAAAACCCACAAGGTTGGACAGACCACTCTACTCCTTGTCGTGTACAGCCGGGAAATCGAAACTACGCCAGTTGACTCAATGAAAGACCTTATGATACAATGCACGTGCTAACCATTGGGCCATCCATGTCCCCCCCCCCCCAACCCTATTAACATGTTGGGCTGAATTAGAGCCCAAATATATGCCAAACGTATCCAAAGCTGGAGCCCAGCACCTAGGATGACTAGCCCAACACAGGCTTGTTTGCATTCTCTCCAGCGTACACACAGGACCTCAGTTTTCCATCTGATCAGAATGACTTAACACACAGGACCTCAGTTTTCCATCTGATCTGAATGACTTAACACACAGGACCTCAGTTTTCCATCTGATCTGAATGACTTAACACACAGGACCTCACTTTTCCATCTGATCAGAATGACTTAACACACAGGACCTCACTTTTCCATCTGATCAGAATGACTTAACACACAGGACCTCACTTTTCCATCTGATCAGAATGACTTAACACACAGGACCTCAGTTTTCCATCTGATCTGAATGACTTAACACACAGGACCTCACTTTTCCATCTGATCAGAATGACTTAACACACAGGACCTCAGTTTTCCATCTGATCTGAATGACTTAACACACAGGACCTCACTTTTCCATCTGATCAGAATGACTTAACACACAGGACCTCAGTTTTCCATCTGATCAGAATGACTTAACACACAGGACCTCAGTTTTCCATCTGATCAGAATGACTTAACACGGTTCCTTGCCATTCCCTCTCTCCTGCTCAACTGACAGTGGAAGGGAAACCACGCTGAAACATATCCTGAGTATCTTTCTATGCCAACACCAGGATCAAACCTAGAGCATCATCGTTACTCAACAAGCGCCTTACTCACCGAGCCACTGTGACTCCTATATCACATACAACTAAGCAGCTTTTCGTGCACAAATGTTAAAAACAAAATTTAATAATGTTTTATGATGTTTTTTTATTTTTATCAGGAGCGATTAATTGAAATAGATGGTCAGCAGAAAGAGATGGTTAAAAGTGTAAAAAATGATCTGGAAAACTTTGAAAAGCAACGCTCCCGTCTGGTAGATCTCTTCCGAAAGGTTTGTAGTCTTGATTTATCAGTGTTAATAAAATGTTATAATAATACTATTTATTTATTTGATTTATTTGCTCTGTTATGAATCTAAATAATGATTTAATCGTCTTTATTTGATTGATTGATTCAAATTAATGTAATTTACAACTTTTTTTTTTTGTGCTACATTTGAAGTTTGGTAAAAAAATTTGAATCCCGATTAATAATTCAAATGAGTTTTATTTTGTTATAAGCATGTTTTTATCACAAGAATATTATATGGGGAGATTACTCTATTTTAATAACATATTACTTGCGTTTTGATAGATATGCTCAAATTAATTAAGTTTGCGAATTAGAACATTTTTACTTTATAGTTTGCTTTTTGAATACCTTTTTTTATTTTATTTTTTTTATTTTTTGAGTTTTGGCATTGGGTGTTTTTAACGCATGTCCACCTACAGGCATGTTCAATAACATTGATGTTGGCTTTAATCCCAAATCAAAAGATTTCAATTTAAATTTTAAAATTAAAGTCTCTATTTGTCATTAGCATTTTTAGGGGAATGACCTTTTTTTTTTGAATTCTGGAAAGATTTACTTCACTTGATATTAAAACATAAGTTATGGATTGCGGGTGTTTGCTTTTGGGGTAGGGAGGGTGTTATAAAATTTGGTCTAATTCTGTATCAATTCACGATGGGATTCACACATTTTTGGTGGCTGTAAAAATATATTTTTATGTGTTGTTTGGCTTTAAAACTTTTGCGCAATAATTTTTTATATCATTGAATTTCTACTGTTTTATTAAAATCTTTATTTTTGATAATAAAAAAAAATATTCCAATAAGAAAGTTTTTATCTTGTTGCATAGTATAATATTTTGGTAGCTTACAAAATCTGAAAGTCAAAAGAATTGAGTTAAGGGGAAGCAACTCCATTTTTGAAATGAAATAATCATGGTTTTAAGATTTATTTTATATTGTTTTAATGATCTTAGGAATCAGCTTATAAAGGGAACATATTATGTAGGTTAAAGAAAACTCAGACATCAGTTGACTATATTAGATTTTTTCAGGATTATCTGACAGTTGAAAAGTTTCCTTTTTTTTATCTTGCAAATTTTAAAGGAGGTCTTTGCTTTGCAGGAGAAATGTAAGCTCGCTCCATTGGAGAGTAAGATCGCTGACATTTGTAGCATGCTTGCTCTACCGATAAACAACGATGAATTAGATGGGTTGCTATTGGATACGAATGTAGACCTTGAGGTACTGACAATATTATTTTAGTTTTTTAACCATACATCGGTTGCCATAGAGATGTTTTTTTGTCAAGCTCGGGTCAATGTGAGGCCATTTTTTTTGCACAAAAAAAATAGAAATTCTTCCAATCAAATCACCAAACGGAGTGTTTAAAAATTATGCCCATCTTTTTACTTCTAAAGTGATATTTGACAAGTTTAAGTTTTAGATTGTTGGATAAAATGGCGTCATTTGAGCCCGTCTTCTCAGCCCAGTCAGAGCAGAACAGTGGGACGTTAAACCCATTTCATTTATATGTCATAGGCTACAGATTGACATCAGAGATTGGTTGATTAGTTTCTATGTTGCTGATATAGTGACAACCAGTCAAATCATTCCAATCTTGCTATTCCCTCCCACAAGCTACAAGATTTGGTTTTTATTAGAATCTTTCTGGCAAGCGATGTACTTATATACATATAAATATATAAATCCTCTTTATTTGTAGTTTGTTTTTACTAACAGTCAATTTGTAGTGGTTGTAAATATTATTAAAAGCATTTTATACTTTATAAGTCAAAGGTCAACCATCAGGTTAACTAACTAATAGTTTTATAAAAGTCATAAGTTGACAAGCAGGTAGGGTCCATCTTTTTTTATATAATCGAACTATATATAACGATGACATGCAACTAGAGCTTTCAAAAACTTTCAAAAACCTTCTCTGAGAAATGTTCCTGTTTTTGTGCATTTAGTTTGTGGATTGTCTCCCTTGTTGTGAGTTTGTTTTCATTTAGCGTCAAGTCTATATCAATAAAGGACCAGAATCGTATGTGTGGAGAAGTTCTCTTGCACTAAAGCGGTGGACAATCAGCGTCGAAATTTACCAGTCTGTTTCAGTTCAGCGAATGATTCGCCCAAATCAAACATGGTTGATATATATTCACCTAGTGTGCCTGCTTGGCTGAAGCAGTCGCCCGATTGTTGAATTCATTAACTAATCACTACTCATCATCCATCCTCTCGATTCAAACACTGACATTAATTTAAATATCGGTACAGCATTTGTGATGTCACTGCAGAACCCAATATGCTAAATATATATTGCTATATTGCGGACTTAAAATTAGCAAGTATGACATTGAAAAGTATAGAAACATACAAAATAAAGAAATTTGCTAAAAACAAATCATCGATGTATTGGTGATGTCATTAGCACATTGTATAGTTGAGGGTAGCACATCAGCAGGGTCATGATTTATTTTCGAAACGTCGATCTGTGTGGTCGTCCTCATAGAAACAGATGGACTATCTCCTTTAATCGATGAATGTCAAGGTCGTTGTTCACAAGCTATATCCTGTCTTCATTAGCCCAGTTGGTGCTCAAAAGTAGGACATTAAACCCCATTTTATTTCACTAAGAGAATCATTTTGCTCAAAATGTTTACATGCAACAAGCATTATGAGGTTTGCATACATCAGTCATTACAACAAAAACCATGGCAATGCTCAACAGAGATATTGATGAAAGAGTGTCATGGTGAATAAGGTTCCAGGATCGATTCAGGTGCAAGTCGAGAAAGTTCTTCAGGATTTTCCAGTTTGGTACCTCTGTGTCGAGTTGTTCAGATTGGACAAAAAACCAGAGGCCCTGCACATACAACAAACCCTTGACAGTTGAAATTCAATTAAAGAGTCAGGGCATAATTTCCCTCATAGTGCATGTTATGATTTCTGCTCATCTTCGTTATCCTGATTGGTACAGAACAATGGGACCTTAATCTCAGTAAAACAAACCATAAAATGGTTGCGGGTGAATGTTGTTATTTTGATTTTCTGTTGTTATGGCTGATTAATCAGTGCTTGTGGGTGCTTTCCTGTCTCAAGTGGTAAAATATAATGGCCATGCTGGCTTACCACACCACGCACTCCCTACCCACTATCCATCGAACCCAGACCCACCTGTGTAAAGTATGACATGAATTAAAGGTAAAAGCCCAGACCTAGCTGTGTAAAGTATGGCATCGGGTAGCATCTGGTGCTATATGTAATTGACTGTGGTTTATGTGCCAAGGTTGTGCTTGGATATTTTATGTTATGCATATCAAGTAAATTGTCAACTGTGAAATTGTTCTGCATGTCGTTCATTGACTTCAACAAATTGTCCCCAATTTCACATGGTAAATGTATCAGCTGATACAAGTGGTTTAAACCTATAAGCCAAAGGCCAAGAAGTTAAGAAACAGGCTGTTTATCTCCCTTTACAAGCCTGGTTCTTAAAGGAGGTAATGTGTCATGGTTTTTGAAAATTGTACATGTCAAGGGATAATTCTTCCTAGGACTTTTTAAAATACTATCAGTCTCAAAACATCCAGGTAAAGAGTCTTAAAGGATCTAAATCTTTGACACCTAAAAACAGACACAAATGGGTCGCAATGCATATAATAATGTAATATGAATGTATAAACTGATCCACATTCAATCGATTCTGGCACACGATTCATTTTGTCTTAAATATTGGATATCAGATGCCCATCGTTTCACGCTACGATAACAACATCAATGTTTATTTAAATTGACCAATAAGTCGTGTTTTCAATGTCGAAGACTGTTGATGATATTGAGTTAGATACTTGCCTCTTTTAAGTTTGATTGGTTATATTTACTGTAAGAACACCGAATACCACTCGCATAAAGAACACTTGATACTCATCACCTGTAAGAACACCTAATACAACACACATAAAGATCACTTGATACTCATCACCTGTAAGAACACATATTACTACACACACAAAGAACACCTGATAACATTCACACGTATGAAGACCCCACCTCACCCACCCACCCATAAGAACACCTGATATCACATATGAAGAACACCTTTTACCTCTCTAAGAACACCTGATACCACACATTAAGAACACTCAATTCTCACCTGTAAGAACACCCAATACCATATATAGGAAGAACACTCGATACTCGGCACCTGTAAGAACACCTGACATCACATATGAAGTACACCCTTTACCTCTCCCCTGAAAGAACACCTGATACCACACACCTGTAAGAAAACGTCACCCCATACCACACACAGAAAGAAGATTTGAAACTCAGCTGTAACAATACCTGATACCACTTAACTTATTAACGACATGTTGTATTGTGGTAGGGTTGTGTCGCTAATAATAACAGCTTGTTTGATATTTTCGATTGTCAGTTCTGTATTCATGTTATGATGATTAATTGGCTTTTATTTGTCTGTTAGATCCACCAAATAATTTATAATTGATTTGAATTTCCAGGAGAAGTATGATAGTGCCTTATTATGCCGAGATTTATTAGAAAGCCCGAAACGTAGAATCGGCAGTGACAGTTTCCTGGATATTGGAAATGGAGAAAGAAAAAAATCTGTTACTATCATGGAGATTGAGAAAAACCGATCACTCTTCATGGAGCAACAAGGTTTGTATACTGGTATTATATTTCATTGAAAGCATATCCAAACCTGTTTTGAATTACTTGGAAAGAAGCTTTTTGAAAAATCTACAAATTTGTATCATAAGTTCTGTTATTGAGTCAACTGCCTGGGTTGCGATTCCCCGGGTGTACGTGGCAAGGAGTAAGGTCGCCTATCTAACTTCGTGGGGTTTCCACCCACTGCTAAAGACCCTGTATGCGCAAACGAATTATTGAAATAAAATTGAACCAAATGTTAGTCCCGAAATGACCTAGTTTGTGTCGAGTGGATGTTAAACCCCATCTCTCTCTCTCTCTCTCTCTCTCTCTCTGAAAAACTGAGGTCTTGTCATTCTGCGCCCAGAAAACTATCTACTTTGAGAATAGATCTTTGCCTTGAATGGCCGCTATATCCAAAAATTAGTGTACTATTTTGTTATGCAGCTCTACTCCGTTTCACACCTGTCATAAACACGACGATTAAATAAGTGGAATAAATAGTTCTCGAAGTATACTTAGTGTTTTCGACTAAAATCGTTGATTTCATTACTTGACATGTCGGTCATCCAGCATAGTGTCTGTTCTAAAGTGGAGCTAATTGTAGACAGACATCATTAGTTTAGTATGAGGTCTTGTGTGTATACCTTGTAAAAGAATCGAGTACCGTTGGAATTCCATGAAGAATACACGGAACGCTGCTGTCTGGGAAAAATTCCCCTCATAGCACACAGCATGGCAAATACCCGTCTTCATTAGCCAAGTCGGAGCAGAAACGTAGGACATTAAACTTCATTCTCTTGCACGTGTCAGAAAACTAGGATATTAAAACATTTCATTTCATGGCTGCTTGAAATACATTGTTCTCAAATAAAAAAAATTGGGTTAACGTTGCCTTGACACTGAGAAACAGAAAATCAATTAAATACAGCCTTAAATAAAATCAAACTGCATTTAGTTTGTCATTTGACAGATATAATAATACGTAATTGCATATTCATTGCCCCAGGTGTAATATGTTTACAAAAATAATGATTTTGTTCGATTTATGTGTTTAAAAATTAATGTGTTTTATGATCTGATAATGAAAAATAATAATAGAATAAAAATGATTTTTATCAGTTAAGTTATTACTGTAAAAGCAAGGTTGAGTGGCTGAATGGTGTAACACATGCACTTTTGATCATAGGATCTATCATTGAGTCAAGTGGCTTGTTTTTGATTTTGGGGGGTTGGATGGCCGAATGGTTAGCACGTACGTGCTGTATCATAAGGTCTGTCATTGAGTCAACTGGCAGGGGTTCGATTCCCCAATTGTACGTGACAAGGTGTAGGGTTGCCTGTCCAACCTGGTGAGTTTTCTCGGTGTCCTCCGGTTTACTCCCACTGCTAAAGACCCCTACGCGCAAGCGAATTATTGAAATAAATTTGAACCATGTGTTAGTCCCGAAATGACCTAGTTTGTGTCAAGTGGACATTAAACCCCATTTCTCTCTCTCTCTGTTTTTGATTTCACACTTGTAGGTAACAAGGAATAGGGTCACCGCTGGACAGAAACTAGGTCATTTCGGGCCTAACATGTGGGTCAATTTTGTTTCAATAATTCGCTTGCACATAGGGGTCTTTAGCAGTGGTAGGAAACCGGAGGACCCACAGAAAACCCACGAGGTTGAACAGGCAACCCTACTCCTTGCCACGTACAACCGGGAAATCGAAACCACGCCAGTTGACTCAATAAAACAGACCTTGTGATACAACGTGCATGCGTTAACCATTCGGCCATTCGACCCCCACCCCCCCATTGAGTAAGACACTGGCTCACTAGCCATGTGGGGGATCACGGTGGCTAAGTGGGTAAGACGCATTGGCCGAGAAAGTTCATCCAGATTTTCCGGCGTGGTTCCCCCATGTCAGTGATGCAGGAGTAAGGGCCTAACAAGGACAGCTGTCTAGTCATTCGGATGGGACAAAAAACAGAGGTCTCGTGTACACATTGGAATGCATGTAAAAGATCCCTGAACAGTTGGAATTCAATATAAGAGTAGGCTGTAGTGCTGCTGTCCAGACAAAATTTCCCTCATAGCACACTGTATGGCATATGTCCGTCTTCATTAGCCCAGTTGCCTAGAAATAAGAAATCAAAAGTGGGTTAATGTCCTACTTTTCTGCTAAAAGCAGGAAGTAGATTATTAGAACAATTGTATGTGAAGAATAATGTAAAATCTGATTGATGAATAAAGAAATGGTATTGTGTGACATCTAGTAGCTAATTAGTCCTAGATAGTTTTGATATTTTGACTGAAGCTTTGTGTGAAAATGAAGACAATTACACCACGTCCACGATGATCGTGATGATCGTGATAGGTCTGTGTGTAAACAACTGACCCGAAGGAATATATTATGATAGGACACGAAATTCCTGCTGACCTGCAGAGTTTACTCGTAGGTCAAATATACTTTTATAAAATAATCTAGCTTAATTAAACATACATTGTGCACAAGCTAAATCTGCCTATTGCAGGTCTTTCTTTAGGGCTGAAATGTTGTCTAAATTATTAATTAGACATTAATTAACTTATCCAGACCATAATCAATTCTTGATGTCATTGCTAGCCTGCGATATTTACTGGATTAGGATCAGATTTGCTGCTCAACTTTCATTCGTGATTTAATCATGAAATGGATAATCGAAATGTTGTCTAAATTATTAATTAGACATTAACTAATCCAGATCATAATCAACTCTTGATGTCATCGCTAGCCTGCGATATTTACTGGATTAGGATCAGATTTGCTGCTCAACTTTCATTCGAGATTTAATCATGAAATGGATAATCGAAACTTATGTTTTTTATCGTACCAACTTTAGTAATGATGATCGAGTCTAGGCCGAAAATTCTATTGCTAAATTCTCTGTTCAGAGTGGATCAATTTAACTGAAGTTTTCAGCAATTTCCCTTTACATTATCTAGTTTTTAATTATTATAGTGAGAACTGTCAGCTCTTTATCTAATCTCCCATAATGTATCCTAATTAATCTAGCCTAATTAAAGTAAAGATGTATGATTGCATATTTAAAAAAATACCTTTTTTTTTTCACAGCTTAATTCACGCTAATAGGTACTCAGATTGATTAATTAACATTCAATTAAAGGACAATATTGGTGTCAGTCATTATACCCTGTTAACCATTGGCGTTATTTAAAGGACAATATTGGTGTCAGTCATTATTATATATGTGATAGAACTGGTTAAACACGTTCCAAATATAATTTTAACACAGAGATCATTGCTACGAAAGATGCGTTATGAAGATTTCAAGAAAGGGAAGTGACGAACGCAAAAGGAAAACACAAGTTATATAACTGACTGAAATGACGAATGATAACAGATACACAGGCGAATTTCTGCTCACTAATAATTCCTTTGAAGACCAAAAGTTATTATATGACTCAGTGAGAGGGATATCTGATAATTCAAAAAAATAATTGACTGTCACTAGATAAGAGAAAATGATAAAAAAAGAAAAAGTTCATGCATTGCCATGTTTTTATTAAGTATAGAATGAATAAAAATAAGGCAATGTACAGACTATTTCTATATTATTATCGTTTTTCCTTATCTAGTGACCTTCAATTATTTTTTGAATCATCTGATATCCTCTCACTGTGTCATATAACAACTTGTGGTCATCGAATGAATTATTAGGGAGCAGAAATTCGCCTGTGTATCTGTTAACACTCTTCACCTCAGTCAGGTATATAAAAGGATAACTTGTGTTTTCCTTTTGCGTTTGTCACTTCCCTTTGTTGAAATCTTCATAATGCATATATCGTAGCAATGATCTCTGTGTTAAAATTATAATATATTAACAATTATTGTCCTTTAAGAAAACAAAATCAAAATACAACTGTGGGATGATCTCTTGGTTTGGATTCAATCAGATTATTAACAGGCCCATCAATTTGGTTCATGGCAAAAGAAGATGGTGACAGGCTTGTTATACTTTAAAGGTGTCAAAACATGATACAAAAAAGACATTTTAACTTCATTTTAATTTTACAATTAATTAGAAATTTAAAGTGTTTTATAAAGAGTTGGACATTCTTGCTATAATAATTCATAAATAGATGATAAAAAAAGAAGATGTTCAAAGTTTCAGTCAAATTACTTTGTTCTGAACGGAATTGTCACTGTTGGCAGTTTAGACTAGAAATAGGCATCAATTGTGTCTGCACCGTCTATGAGAATTGGCGATCGTTTGATAACTCCACCCACATATTCTTGATTATCAAGTAACATGCTCAATGGCTATGGTAGCCTCGCTTGGCAGGCCGTTCTGCACCAGTTTCTGGTAATGACATCAGCGACTAACGGTAAACATTAGCTTGGTCCCCCATTTATTGATTTAATTTTAAATGGACGACTGTTTAAATCCATACTGTATCCAAGTCATCCGAACAGAGATCATTTTGAGCTTGTCGTGTAAATAAAGGTTTAATTAATAATTTCTGTAACATCTGAAGCCTAAATAAAGACCTGAAATAGGCAGATTTAGCTCTTGCATAATGTACGAGTGTATGTTTAATTTCGTTTGCTGGTAATCCAATTTAGTAACCTGAAGAAAAATCACATATATATATTGTCCCTTTTGAAAGGTCATTCCGTGATGATCAACAAGTCAGGCCCCTAGACTCAACTAAATAATCCAGGGTTCAAATCCCAGCATGGACCAAAAAGAAAAATCAGGATATTTTGAGCCCAGTTACAGTGTTTCAGGAATTTTGTCTAGCTGTCTGCAAGGCTGACATTTAAAATGTTGCCGAGTTGTGAAAAATGGCAGTCAATAACAATTGTCAATTGGAATTCAATGAAAACTAGAGAAAAATTCACTTCCTTACATTAAATTTGTGGCCTTTGACATTAAATTTAGAATTCAATTAATTGTAAAGAAAAATGAAGATCTTAGATCTTCCTTAATTCATTAAAGATGCATTATATATGATTTAGATAAATAGATAAAAATTAGATGTTGAAAAATGAATATATTGAAAATGTCAGTCAAAATTACTTTATTCTGATCAATGTTACTAGTGATTGTATCCCATAAAAACTGTGTTCTGTTAATGTTACAAGAGTCTTAAGTTTAGACAAGTTAGTCTCGGCTGTCATGTAACATTGCTACAAGAATAAAAGTCTTGTTTATCCATTATTTAATTATTAAATGACATGTTCTAATCCATTGAATATCATGGCCATTCAATGGTCTTGAGAGTTGATTATGGGCTTGTCATGTGAATAAAAGCCTAATTAATAATCTATGTAACATTTGATGCCAAAAGAAAGACGCGTAACGGGCAGATTTTACTCTTATATAATGTATCTTTAATGAATCAATGTACCTTCTAATGCAGAATTTAAATTCATTGTTTCTACCTGATAGGTAACATAATTATTGACCATGAAAGAAAAAGACTTGAAGAATTAAAACGAAGAGCCGCAGACGAAGGCAGGGCATTATGGGAAGAGAGACGATTACGTGAAGCGAACTGTAAAAGTTTTAATTCTCTTGAGTCGGAGGAATCAAGTATATCCAGTAGCTGTGAAACACCATCTGAGAAAGAAACAAGGTAAGAACTTTGATTGACTGAATTATTAAAGGAAGAGGTCGCTGATAGAATTACATTGCATAGCTTTATGTTTGGTTTAGATTTAGACCCTGGCACATAGACAAATGATTTAGTTGAAGTGGTTTACTAATTCTGTGGCTTCACCTTGTCAGTGGTGCAGGAAGGAGGGCCTGACAAGGACAGCTGTTAGTCATTCAGACGGGACAAAAAAAACCCAAGGTCCCGTGTATACATTGACATGCACTCAAAAGATCCCTTGGCAGCTGGAATTTAATATAAGAGTAGGCCATAGTGCCACTGTCCGGGCAAAATTAGCCCAGTTGGAGCAGAACGGAAGGACGTTAAACCCCATTTCATTTACTAATTCCATACATGAGGCCAAAATTCTGCAAAATATTAGCCACGGCAACTGGAACAAATGCCTCATAGCAAGATAAGGGGTGGGGTGGGTGGGTTAAAACTCCATTTCATGGAATGTTCGCGAATTCAAAAACAAAATATCAGATATCCATTTTAGTTCCATTTGATACATTTATATCATAATAAAATTTTGTTCATCACTTTTCATGTTATCCTCTACCTGCCATTAGTGAAATATTTTAGATTTGCAGATACTATTTAAATACCACATCCTTATCAGTATCTCTTTCTTTAATTTTTTATGGTTTTGATTTTGTTATAAAAAAATGAGATTCCTTTTCAGCCATTTTCACAGTAAAGAAACATGCATTACAAACCAACAAAATAAAGAAAAGAAACCTGGGATCTCATTTTTACATAGCTTTATTCCTTACATATAACATTGCTGGTTACATAACATTACTTGTTGTATAACATTACTTGTTACATACCATTACTTGTTGTATAACATTATTTGTTATATACCATTACTTGTTACATAACATTACTTGTTACATAACATTACTTGTTGTATAACATTACTTGTTACATAACATTACTTGTTACATACCATAACTTGTTACATAACGTTACTTGTTGTGTAACATTGCTTGTTATGTAACATTACTTTTTGTGTAACATTGCTTGTTATGTAACACTACCGGTTACATACCAATACTCGTTACATAACATTGCCAGTTACATATCATTACTAGTTACATATTACTTGTTGCATAACATTACTTGTTACATAACATTATTTCTGGCATAACATTATTTATTATGTAACATTACTTGTTGTGTAACATTGCTTGTCACGTAACACTACCGGATTACTTGTTACATACCATTACTTGTTGCATAACATGGTTAGGGTTAGGGTTAGGGATTAGCGCTAGTCCTGTTTATATCTCGTGACCTATGACGAAAAATTGAGCTGGCCTTATCATTTAGCACCAACTTTAATCAAGGGGTTGTTCCACCTCATTTTTTTTCTCTATCCTTCATTAAATTACACCAGTTAGCATTATTGCTTTATAAAATATTGAATAGTGTGGGTGACCAAGTGGTCTTAATCCACCAAGATATAATTTCCTGTTAAAATGCCTTAAGGAACAACAACATTTATTTTAATTTAAAAATAACAAAGACTTCTAAAACAGAACCAAACAGAACCTAAGGCTAAATGCATTTTCAGAACTTTATAAAAAAAAAAAACCTTTATAATATCTCTCACAGACCTGAGAAACAGAAAATGAAAGTGGAAATTAATTGTTTGTTTGGGAGATGCAAAGGTGGTGAAGGAATGAATTATCTCGGAAATTGGCATGTTGGCTTCACTAATTCTGTCTAAGACACGACTTGAGGCAACGACAAGCAAAAGTTAATTGATTGGCTGATTCCTAATATGGTCGTTGTTCGTGTTCTACTACACGGAACACCAACTGTGAAACATTTCGCTTCCTGTACAAAGATTCTCCTACGTTCTTCTTCTCTTGGTTTCATGAAATGATGAAAGAAAAATAACTTTATTATTTAAAACGGATATTGGAGTTGTGTTGTGTTTTTTTAAGGAAAATGATAGAATTATTATAGACTGCAACTATTTGTTCATTTAATCTATTTCTATTCAGCATGTACAAAAATTTGTATTGTTAGTTTGAATTAGATTTTTTTTTTTCAATCAATTTTAAGAGAAAATTCCTTGGAATACCTTTTTTTTTAGCTTTATTCTACATTTCTTTATTAATTCCTGTCTTCATTAGCTCAGAAAATTAGGATATTTAACCCCATTAAATTTCTTTCCTTGATTCTTGACATTCAGTAAAGAGTAGGCATAACACTGCTGTTCTATCATAGTTTCTATCAAAGAACATTAGATAGATTTGGCCCGTCTTCGGTAGCTTGTTTATTAGTAACCTATTCGTTAAAATATATGGAGGATTGGGTGAACTAGTGGTTTAACGTGTGGGCAAGAAATCACAAGATCGTCATTGAGTCAAGTGGCATGGTTTCGATTGCCCGTTTGAAAGTGACAAGGAGTATGGTTGCCTGTCTAATCCTCGTGGGTTTTATCTGCGTCCTGCGGTTTCCTCCCACTGCTAAAGACCCCCTAACAAACCATGTGTTAGTCCCGAAAAGATCTAATTGGTTTTCTCTGGGTACCGCAGTTTCCTCTCACTGCTAGATTGCCCGCTTGAATGTGACAAGGAGTATGGGTGCCTGTCTAACCTTGTGGGTTTTATCTGGGTCCTGTGGTTTCCTCCCACTGTTAAAGACCCCCTAAAGAACCACATGTTAGTCCCTAAATGACCTAATTGGTTTTGATTGCCAGCTTGAACATGACAAGGAGTCTGTCTAACCTTGTGGGTTTTCTCTGGGTCCTGCAGTTTCCTCCTACTGCTTAAGACTCCTAAAGAATCACGTACATGACCTAACATGTTTTGATTGGACGTTAAACCCTAAAATATATATCTGTTACTGCTCCTTTAAGAGAATATAAAAGAGATGGTAAAAATGCGTTGCTTGCTAATAGAATCGATCGGGATGTCTTTAATACCAGCACTTCTAGAAAGATGAATCTTTAATGGCTGCAACCACTAATTATAGGAAATAATTTGATAGTAGCTATCGTTATTAAGAATTTCTAAGAAAACATATTTTCTAATCCTATTTCATTTGTAATGAGGTTTTAGAGTATAATGTTGCCATTTAAAGAAAGCCTGATAATTGATGTATAAAATTTCACCACATAAAGTCACTAGTTGGGATCATTAATTTGAAATGAGAATCAAACGAAATGAGGTTTTTACATCCTACTTTTCTTCAACAACCGGGCTAATGCAGTGTTTTACGAGTAGAATTCTGCAATGACAGCAGCATCACTGCCTACTTCAAATGTCCACATAACCTTGGTTTTTCAACCCATCCGAACAACTTCTTAGACGGCCCTCCGTCTGACAATGCTGATATTTCACGAGGAACTGTCTCAGCCAGCACTTGGATCTTCCGGCTTAAGAACTTAAACATAATAAAACAAATATTAATGACAGTTGGAATTTGAAATGCCCCAGCTAAAATTTCACTCATAGCATACTGCATGGCATACGCCCATCTTGATTAGCCCAGTCAGTGTAAAAAATTATAATGTTTTTTTTAAACCCTATTTCAATTAATTTAGTAATAAAAACAAATATGGATGATGTACAACAATTGTTGGGGGTATGCAATGTCTGATTGGGCATATTGCTGGTCGGACAATTTAGGACGTTTGGAAAATAGCGTTGGACATGTCCGGAATATACGGCCGAATTCCTATCACTTGTATGCATCCTATCTTGATAATTAACCACATAGGACTATTGCCACATATTAGTGATTAATCTTTGGGGAAATTTTCTTTTGGCGACCTTAAATGCTAGAACCATCGGATATTTATGGAAGAATAGAAACCTGTAAATATGTATGTATATCAGTGAATGATAGTAATTACTAATTCTATACGATAAGATTATCAATAGATCCGATCCACTTCAATTCTTTTTAAACAACCACGAAAGTAGAGTTAATCAATTTGTCTAGACGATCTATTTGATAACCATAACTTCCATGAATTAATCATGAAATTGATCTGTCAAAGTGCGGATCTGGGGTTGGGGTTAAGGTAGGGTGTGAAAGCTTGCCAGATAGAGGAGTGGGTCCATCTACTTATGGGCGCTTATGGAAGTGTGGCAGGTGACTTGGTCCTCCCATCTTACCAAATTTAACTTGTGCAGGTGAGATTGGTTCCCCATCTTACAATAGTTCAAGAGGCCAGGTTTAACCTGCATGTGTTTAGACTATTCATTTCTCACCCTTAAAGTTAACTTAAACATACATTATGCAAGAGCTAAATCTGCCTATTGCAAATTTTTCTTTAGGCTTGAAATGTTATCTATATTATTAATTAGACATTAATTAACTTATCCAGGACATAATCAACTCTCGATGGCATCAGATTTCTCAGATATTAAATAGATTAGAACAGTTCAGCCATATTTTGATTTAAGCTAACAATGGAGGAGTGAGACTTAGCTTCAAACAACCAGTACGGTGGGTGAAATTATTGCACACGTCTTGTCAAATCTTCAAAGGCTAATATCTTTGCTCGCAATAGAGTAATTTGAATGAAATTTTCAAATTATTCATTTTACATTATCTATTTTCGAACTATTCTAGCAAGAATGGCTAGCTCTTTATCTAAATCTTACATGATGTATCTTTAATTAATGTCCCACACTTGATTCCTGCCCCACCCTTTTTGATTCACGCCCAACTCATTTTTGATTCACGCCCAACTCATTTTTGATTCATGCCCCACCCTTTTTGATTCACGCCCAACTCATTTTAGATTCATGCCCAACTCATTTTTGATTGCTACCCCACCCTTTTTGATTCATGCCTAACTCATTTTTGATACATACCCACCTCATTTTGATTAATACACCACGTTTTTTGATTCAAGTCCCCCTCGAGATAAAATCGTGTATCTACTGTTGCTATCTATCTATCTACCCAATGCAAATTAGACCACGCTTCAAATTTTGATTGATGCAGATGTC